CTTGGTAACTAGGATTATAAATACAGGGAACTCTAGTTGTATGTATTTAACCCCAAACGAGGTACTGACAACTTTACTTACTTAGTCCCATGATCCTCAGTAAATTTCGGATCCACAGGCAAACCCTAAGAATAAAACTAGGCTGTTGTTCAGTAACCTCCTGAAAAAAGTATATATTTTTTAAGGCTAGTTGTAATATACTAGGAACCCAGGAATCCAAAAAGTAAAAGAGTATGCTACTGAGCAGCCTAGTAAACGGGCTCTACACGCAGAACCCTCAGCACAAGAACATCTCAGAACCCCCCCAAACCTCAAATCCCTAAACCAAGGCATGCCAAACTCGGTTAGGGAAACCTTGAAGCACCCTATGAAACACCTTCTTGGAAAACCCTAAACACTCAATCCTAAACCATCACAGCCCCGGACCCTCAACCTTTAAACGCTCAACCCTAAACCCAAAACCCTCAAGCCTTAAATTAAGCCCCAGCCCTAAACCAACAATCCTAAACCACGCAAGTCTCTTCCACAACCCTAAACACTCAACCCTAAACCCCCAAAGCCCTACCTAAACCTCCAAAAGTGGGTAAATAATGGCCCAAAACCCATAAAAAATGCTATTATTCTACGTACTTTTCGGGTCCAGGTAGGCCCTCAACCCTAAACCCTCCCTTAACCCCTTACAAGACCTCTGAGCTTCTCCGTTTCCTCTGGGTGGCGAACCCCTCAACAGTACCCTTACCCAGACCACAGGAAGGATCTAAAAAATAGATCCCCTAAGGGGGTTCCTTTAGAGTACCCCTTAGTTGTATAGGGTCCCAAATTAGGGGATCTACTTTTTAGATCCTTCCGGTGGTCTGGGTTTAGACCCCTTGCGAGAACCCTGATGTAGTTCCTTTCGAAGGAACCCTAAACCCTCAAAGCCCCAAACCCCAAATCCTAAACCCTCGCTGAACCCCTTACAAGACAAAAGGAACCCTAAACCCCTCAATAGTACCCTTATGGATCCCTTATAAGAACCCTGATACAAGTATAGTTCTTTTAAAAGGAACCCTAAACCCTGAATAGCACCCTTATGGATCCCTTACAAGAACCCCGATACAAGTATAGTTCTTTAAAAGGAACCCTAAACCCTCAATAGTACCCTTATGGATCCCTTACAAGAACCCTGATACAAGTATAGGTCTTTGAAACGGAACCCTAAACCCTCAATAGTACCCGTATAGATCCCTTACAAGAACCCTGATACAAGTATAGTTCTTTTAAGAGGAACCCGAAACCCTCAATAGTACCCTTATGGATCCCTTATAAGAACCCTGATACAAGTATAGTTCTTTTAAAAGGAACCCTACACCCTCAATAGTACCCTTTTGCATCCCTTATATGAACCCTGATATAAGTATAGTTCTTTTCAAAGGAACCCTAAACCCTCAATAGTACCCTTATGGATCCCTGAAAAGAACCCTGCTACAAGTATAGTTCTTTTAAAAGGAACCCTACACCCTCAATAGTACCCTTATGGATCCTTTATAAGAACCCTGATGCAAGTAGTTCCCTTAAAAAGGAACCCTACACCCTCAAAGCCCTAAGCCCCAAATCCTACACCTCCCTTAACCCCTTATAAGAACCCTGATATGCTGTAGTTCCTTTCAAAGGAACCCTACATCCTCCCTGGCCAAACCCCTAAACCCTATAAACCCTATAAACCCTATAAGCCCTATAAACCCTATAAACCCTATAAGCCCTATAAACCCTAAATCCCTAAACCCTAAACCCCTAAACCCTAAACCCCTAAACCCCTAAAGCCCTAAAACCCCTGAGTTTCCACTGAGTCACGGGATCGTCGGGCCCCTTGCGATCGAAGGGCGAGGAAACCGTCGCGGACCTGCCCCCGTCCACTTGCCGAGAGCCCGACAACCCCTTAAGGGTTTAGGGTGTATAGGGTCTATAGGGCTTATAGGGTTTATGGGGTTTAGGGTTAGGGTTTATAGGGTTTAGGGTTTAGGGCTGAGGGTCTAGGGCTCAGGGTTTAGGGTTTAGTTTCGGGTCTTTAGGGTTTTGAAGGGGTTTAGGGTTTAGGATCTACGGCACACGGGGTTTAGGGTTTAGTGCTTCAGGCTTTGGAATTTTATAGTTATGCCTCAAATTTATAGGGGCCTTAAACTAAGGTGCTAGTGGATTTTTTGGGTCTTGTCAAATGTGTGTCAGAAGCTTAGGGTTTGGGGCTGGTTGCGTCGCGTCTTTAGGGTTTTAAAGGGGGTTCAGGGTTTAGGGTCTAGGGGCCGCGGGGTTTAGGGTTTAGGGTCTAGGGGTCCAGTCAAAGGGCTTAGGCTTGCTTAAGGGATCATGGCAATTGGTAGCTAGGGTCAGAGATGTAATAACCAGAGATACGACTACTTATGACCACAATTACCGTAATTGTAATGGTACAGGGATTGGGGTTTAGGTGTTTAGGGCTGAGGGTGCACTTCGGTAGGGTTTAGGGGATTATGTAGGGTTTAAGCTGCACATTTCCATGATCTGGGGACGAGCTTTCAAGCGCAACCGTTTTACTTAACGGTCTAACCCACTTACTAAGTCCCCTGATCCTTGTAGTAGTTTGCCTGTTTCTTTCGTGTTATAAGCATCAAGGATTGAGGTTCTGGAGGGCGCAGGTTGTTTTTCGTTCCTGTCTTTCCTCAGGTTTGGGAGTTTACGTGGAGGCTCATATGACGTAGTAAGGTAATCGGGGGTTTAGGGTTTAGGGTAATAAGCACCTTAATCAGGCTTACAAGCAACTATTATGAGTACAAGTAAGTACAACGACCTTATTTATAACCCTGGTTTCTTCGTCCCGATCCTCCCCTGGCTGTTCTGTGGCGTCCGTTGCAAAAGCCTTTCAAACTCCCGAAAGAGCTTCCTTGAAGCATCGTGGGAGTTGGAAACTAGGGTTTAGGTTTTAGCGCTCCTTGACCGGGCTCCTTAGAGGAATTTTTAAAGTATCTGCAAAGTAGGGTGTAGGAGGGTTCTTTGGAGGAATCTTTACAGTACCTATACAGGGTTAGGGTTTCAATGATCGTGGGAAGCTGCATGAAATGCCTCTCAAGTGAGATCCTTATATTAAGGCCCCTATAATTTGAGGTACATTCCTTCATTAAGGGGTATTGGGCTCTCTGGGTTCCTGCGGAACATCAGTTTCAGGCCAACCTTAAGGACGAAATGAGCCCTAAAAGCTTTTTGGTTCATATACCATATAAGGATTCATAGTATAAGGGTATAGGGCCCCTACTTTTAAGGGTCATTTCGTCCTTAAGGTTAAATAAGAAGCACTCGAAGGAAGAGAGCCAGACCTTCTGGAGCCTACCCATAGGCTCCATAGTAGATCTTTTTTGTGGTTTATATACAGAAAAGGGTAATCCCAAAAAGGAACTACAATGGAGCCTATGGGTAGAAGGCGGGCGCCCTTGGCGTTGCAGGGCTCATGGAGCTTTCCGCGCTCTTCCGTGAGGGGCTCCGGCCGCCAGGAGCGGCTTTGAGGATTTAGGGCTTAGGCGTGTAGGGGTTTGGGGCTGTAGGGTTTTGGCTGTAGGGTTTAGGGGTTTCAGGTTTAGGGGTTTCAGGTTTTGGGGTTTCGGGGTTTAGGGCTGTAGGATATGATATAGGGGTTTAGGGTTGAGGGGTTCAGGTTGAGGGGTTTTGGGGTTTTGGGGTTTAGGGCTGTAGGATTTAGGATTTAGGGTTTAGGGGGTTAAGGTTTAGGGGTTTAGGGTTTAGGGTTTAGGGCTGTAGGGTTTAGGGTTTAGGGGCCCTTAACTAGTAGCTGCTACATGCCCCCAGAAATCTGGACTACATCTTTGTCTTCCCGTGAATACAACATAAAGGTCCGAATAGTTAAACGAGGCTTTGGGGGGTATAATATGCTTTGATTATAATAAGGAACCCTACGGGAGTACTACTGACAACGAACTGTTCCGACCCCTAAGCCCTAAACCCTAAACTCTATAGAAGCATTTCTCGAACCTCAAGAGTACCCTCATAGAACCCTTATAGATCCGCCATCGTGCCCCTTGCAGAGCCTTATAACAAATCTGATGACAGAACCCCTATAGTAGGGTCTAGGGTTTACGGATTACGGTTAGTACCCAAAACAGCCTTATAGAATTCATTATTTATTTATGCTAGACCCCTCTTAAAAGGGCCCTAAGCCCTAAGCCCTATAGAACACTTTCAATAAACCTTCTAGAACTCTGTATTTATGGTAGACTCCCATCACAGCTCCAAACCCTAAGCCCTGTAGAACACTTTCAATAAACCTTGTAGAGTTCTTTATCTATGGTAGACCCCCATCAAAGCTCTAAACCCGAAGCCCTGTAGAAAAGTTTCAATAAACCTTCTAGAATTCTTTATTTATGGTGGAACCCCCCACAAAGCCATAAACCCAGAGCCCTATAGAACACGTTCAATAAACCTTGTAGAATTCTATATTTATGGTAGACCCCCAACACAGCTCTAAACCGAAAGCCCTGTAGAACACTTTCAATAAACCTTGTAGAGTTCTTTCTTTATGGTAGACTCCCATCAAAGCTGTAAACCCTAAGCCCTGTAGAACACTTTCAATAAACCTTCTAGAATTCTCTATTTATGGTAAACCCCCAACAAAGCCCCAAACCCAAAGCCCTACAGAACGCGTTCAATAAACCTCATAAATGGTAAACCCCCAACAAAGCCCCAAACCCTAAACCCTAAACGCGTCAACCCTAAACCCTGAATCCCTAGACGCCTCAACCCCTAAACCCTAAACCCTAAAACCCTAAACCCTCAACACTTTACTCATCAGGCCACCGACAAAACCCAGCCTCGCTCGGACGTGCCGTCGGGACTCCCCGGGAACCCGGATCATCACGGGAGGCAGGGCCTCTAAACGGTTTAGGGTTTCGGGTTTAAGGGTTAGGGTTTAGGGGTTTAGGGTTTAGGGTTTGTTTAGGGTTTAAGGCTCTGCCGACCACGGCTACGCTGAGCCCGTCGCCCCCAGTAGCTGCAAGCATCTTTCAGCAAATCCGCGACGGTGATGGATCCATCAATTCGATATGTGACCTGGGGCGAATTCCTTGCCTTCTGCCATGGCTTAGTTGTTAGGGCCACAACTTTTGTTCAAGAATTGGCACAGCAGGGCACGAAACTTGCAAAGACATGGAGGCATGTCCGCCTTGTAGTCGTCGTCCTTCTTGTCGCCAGACAAATTCACATAGCCTCGTACAGAGCGTTTGCGGTGGTGCCGTGAGTGTGCTGACGGACCCAAAGCATCAACGCTGGACGCTTGATTCGTCGGAACACCGGCAGCGCCACGACGTGTGACGAGCGAGCGTGCAGTGCAAAATCCGGTGTCTTTTTTGCACATCTTTGTATGGCAAGCTGGCAAACAACTTCCGGCAGAAGATGGCGGCACGTCAGCCCGGAATGCTGCCCTCAGAGGTTCTAGGGCCCGGGCTGACGAGGACGGTGTCGTGCAGGTTCTGCTTGTTTGGATCCTTCAGCCCAGGCGGGTCGGAACCGGAGTGAGGGGTCAGGGAACTGGGCCTCGCCCACGTTCTCCTTGAAGTCTGCGGCGCCTCAGAAGCGGCCAGGAATGTCCCGGACCTCCGAAACGACTGCAACAAACCGCGCCTTGATCAACTCCATCCGGCTCTTCTTGTGAGGGCGCCATAGCTGGAATTCGATCCTCTTGCAAAACACGGGTGCTATAAGTCTCCCTCCCCCCTGACACTTTCAAGTCCTGGAGGAAGCTGTGGACTTGCTCCGACATGAAGTGGCTCTCCGCCTCGGCCTGGAGAAGCGCAAGCGATCGACGCACTTCTGCGATGAAGCCCGCCATCGTCTAAAAACCAACATGATACAACATAATATGACATGGCATGACATGATATGACATGATATAATATAACAAAATGTAACATAATATAATATGGTATAAAATAGTATGATGTGTGATATGGCAATATAACACAATAAAAACATTATGTAGTATTATTCTTATACAAATAGAACATAATAAAATATAGTATACTGTAATATTCATACAAGCAAAAGTGGTGTGCATATATATATAAACAAGTTAATATATTATTTTTCTGAGAACATAATGTAACAATACAATAGAACATATGCTATGATATATACAGTATAACAGGACATGATATAATGTACAGTATAGTAGAACATAACATAATGCACTATAGAAGAATTTAATAGAATAAATTAGAGCATAATATAATATAGTAATAGAGTAGAACATAATAGAACATAGTGTCAAATAATGTTGTTTCCAACGATATAATACAACATATTATAGTATAATACGACATAACATAATGTGACATGCTGTCTGCCACTTCTCCCCTTCAGGCCCCGCACTTTCTTCTGTGCGTCGCCATACTGCGAAGTCTTCTGTGCCCTGACAGCATCAGGGAGCTGCGGTGGTATTGGGGCTTCGAACGTGCCCACGGCATTTTGGCCAGGCCGTGAGACAGAGGACTGAGAGCCACACTTTTTCTGGGTGGACTTGTGCTCCTCCTGCCACCGCTCGTGGGGGATTCTCGAGGAAAGCTCAGACATCATGTCGGCAGACCCACCCCGAGATTTAAAGCCAGCCTTGATGAAGCTCAGCTCTGTATTTCGCTGCTTGAGCTCCTCCTTGGGTGGGCCGTCTGCTACTCGGGTTGACATCTAAGAATCTGTTCAAACAAGCTGTGTGAATCTCTCCTGGTGATGTTGGTGTGGACTGGGTTTACAGTATTTACAGTGACGGTGAGCTGCTGCCAGCGTACAGAGCAAATCCTCATCCTCTCTGAGGCGCAAGCATCAAAAGCAATTTTGCGCTGCTTCAGACGTTCTAGCTGCTCGCGTTTCCGAGCGATGTCTGACCTGCCCAGGATGCGACCGGACTGGTTTTGATCTGACTCAGGCTGTCCGCAATGCTGAGCTGCCGGCTGCAACTGCTTGATCTGATTTCTCTCTTCGGCGAGATTTCCCTGTCACATGGGTCAGGCTATACTGCTGGAACCCTTGGACGGCGTGTACATCGAGAGCGTAGAGCGTGAAGACAGCTGCTAGATGCGAATCCAAAAAGGCAATTCTGACTACCAACAGCGTGCACAGTTCTCTTCACACCTCGCCCTCGTCTGCCATTGCCTCCAAGTGCGCGAACATGTTGCGCTGAGTGGCTGCAAGAGCTTTCCGACACCAAGTCCCGAGCGCACCGCCAGCTTTACACACCAAGGGAGCACCCGGCGAATTAGGTGAGAACATGCATCGTCTTAGCCGTGCTGAGCTGTCGCAGGTCACACTGACTGGTCCCATGCAGAGAACTTAAGCTATTCACAGAGCGCTAGCGATGAGTCGGTATGATCGGCTTTTCATGGATGAGGGGGCTCTTCTTCTCTTCCCATTCATGCGATGAGCTTGGGCCAGACGATCCGGGCAAGCAGCCTACAGGAGACCGAACGGGAGCGTTCTGACGAAGAGCTTTGCATCTGCTCTGAAGTGAGAAGCGTATTGTCGCACAATTGCGCGGCGCCCAAGGCGGAGGCACCTGGAAGGTCGTGGCACCTGAGCTGCCGGGCATGTTGCGGACAAGCAGTCCGAACTAGAAAGTACGAGTAACGAAGTAGACAGGGACGATCGAGGAGGTGAGAATGAAGAATGAGGACGGGCAGGAAGCAAAGGATCAAGATGAGGTTAGAGGATGGACGGAACGAGCGGATGGATGACGAAGAACAAGAACATCATGATCCCAAGATTTCCATGCAATTTCTCCATGGCAATGCTGACTCGTGAGCAGAACGCACACTGCAAGGCAGCTACGCTGTCCTGACAGGACTGAGTTCGAAGGCTCGGCACCAAACGATCTTCCTCCGTCACACAAACCACTGGCCGATCGGAGGTTTATTGCGGTGCTTCTGTGGTACTGGAATATCGACTTCTTAATTGGCAATTAATTGGACTTTGGAAGCAGATCGTTGAACCATGGCTGTCGACATGCAATTTGCAACTCCACAGGGTTTCCTGAGAGGTCGGCAAGATGATCAGTTAATTGCAAGACAAAAAAACACTTGCAGATCACTGCGGTGATGGAATCTCTGCCGGCGCTCTTGGAAACAAAGTGCACCGAGACTTGCCACGAGTCGTCTCGCTGCCCAGTGAATCCCAGTGAGTTCAAGCCGTAAGATGCCCCTATAAGTTCTCGATCCATAATCTACGGGCGGCATAGACGCATTATCGCAACGCAAACTGTCGCTCCCGGAGATCCGAGCCAGGAAAACGTGGCATCTTCAATGCCCCTTCTGTGCGCGGACATGGGAGGCCGGCGCTTCAGCCGCTAGCCGCTAGCCTCAGTAACGGCCCATTACAGCCCAGACTCCCAGCCGTTGATGCACTCAGGTGGCAACGCTGCGAAACACGGCGACCATCAGCCGGCGTAATGCACAAAGCCGGAGGACTGGGCAGTGCACTGCCGGGCTCAAGGGACGTCTGCCACGTGAGACTCAAAGAGCCACGGGGTCCCCACCGACGTGCACACGCAGTGCTTCCGAATGCCTCTTTTCGTCGGGCTGGTACTGCTGCCTGTGCAGTTGCTGAGGAAAGTAAGAGAAGAGCAGCTTCACCAACGTGCCAGCTTCACACGCCTCGAATCTAGTCTGCCAGCTGTCGAATGCCAAACCACGCCCACCATGCCCCACAGACCCACATTGACTTCTCAGATCTGGCTTTGGCGATCGCAATCGACACTTCCTGCCAGCCTGCCTTTGTCGGCTTCTGTAACATGCCGCTGTTCTGCTGCAGCCAACCTGACAGATTTCGACTGCAAACCATGTGGCGCTCCGATGCCTCGGATGCGGATATGCAAACCCCTAATTACCTACTTCATCGCCCAAACCCTCATCTCCGAAGCGACGAAGCACAATCACCTTCCCTCATGAGCGCCTCGGCAGGGATGGATTGGGACCGAGCAAGATTCGTGTCATCTCAGGCACCTTTGCCAGGTTTGGGACTTTGGGGCTTAAGTGCACACCTTGCATTCCTCTCGGATTCTTGAAGAACTCTTGGAACGATTGGAGGTCCCACCTCGATCCCACGCTTTCGCTTCTCATCCGCACGTCGAGAAGCGATCCTGCAAAAACGAAAACCGTGTCGGGACGCGAGCTTGCTAAGTGCACTACATTATGTTATAAATTACAGTATATCTTCTGACATTTTATGAGATTATGTCTTCTTACATTTATGATATATACATATGTATATGTATATATATATGATGTGTATAATATGTATCATTATATCATTATATCATAAGCCTGGCCACGTCAGCCCCCAAGCGAGGGCGCGGTAGGGCAGAGAAGGCGTTTCCGTTTCCGCCTCGTCTCGACCCGGCAGGCCGCCAAGCGCTTGATGGTTGGCCGCTGCTGCAACTCATCCTGGAAGTGTTTAGGGTTTAGGGTTTGGGGTTTAGGGGTTTAGGGTTTAGGGTTTAGGAGTTTGGGATTTAGCAGTTTAGGAGTTTGGGGTTTAGGCTTTAGGGTATCTGTCTCCTCTCTCTCTTCTTCCACACAGACAAGAGCTCTCTCTCTCTCTCTCAGAAGGCTAGGGCATTGATCATTGATGAGCAGTGCATCTCGGCTCCGCGCTGCAATCGGCATCCAGATCTTGGCTGGGAGCTATGGACCGCGGGTTTAGGTTTTCAGGTTGGTCAAGCGGAGACTGCGACACAAACGCCACTGAACAGAGCTCGAAACGCGGAGCTGAAACACGAAAGAGCCAGGAAAGATAAGCTCAGGACCTTGGGATCGATGGACGTCGGTGGCTCCACCTGGGAGCTCAAACCGTCGCGAAGGTGCTGAGTCTGAGCAGCTGAGAGCACGGCGATAGGATCCTTGTCGTCGTTTGGGTTCCAGTTTACCACTGGGGTTCCCCAGCCTTGGACAAAGGACGTGATGCCACGAAAAACTCGAAATGTCTCGGCTTGTTGCTGCGCGAACAGCTGGCTGATGTTGATCTCCAGCATGCGGTTCTTTGGAGATTGCGGAGGACGAGCGCAGATTGGGCTAGGCCTCCATCGCCTAAACGCAGAGTCTCAGGTCTCAGCTGGCTATCACGCAGCGGCTCTTGTCAGGGAAGTCCAGGGGCACCCGTATCTGACGGAAGCATTGCTTGTGCAGAAGACTGGCAAATTCAATGCATGCATTATTTTTATTGCGCTGGTGGGATGAGTGGGTGGATGACGGCCCGGAGCATGTTTTCTCTCAGACGTCGCGGTGCTCCAGACTGCAGACTCGAGTCAGCTCATCCAACTCTTCCGCTGTCACTGGCCCTGGGCACGTCAAGACGGGTGCTGCACAAGCCAAGCTAATCTCTTCACTAGCCGTACTCGAAGCTCCAAATGCAGCCTGGCGGCGCACTTCACCGTAGCCGAGGCCTGCTCATAAGGAGCTGCTCAGCGCCATGTTTCTGAACAGCGCCTGTGCCTTGCAGCTGCAGAGGCCCAATAGCCACGCGATGAAGATGCAAAAGGCGCAGGCCTCGCAAGAGTGCTGCTTTCGATTTGGATACCAACGCCCTATCAAACTCGTTGAGGGTGCTGTAGCTCAGGCCGGAATGGCTGGTAGCGATGAGGGATGCAGAAGAGACCTCTCCAACTCTGTTCGGGAAAAGGGTGTTGGATATCTGCTGCTCATCACAGTCTGCAGATCATCACATGGAGAGCAATCACCTCGCAGTTAGAGTCACGCATCCCGACACCTTCAATCTTAAAGAGCACGGCACGGAACAAGTTGTATCTGCCCATTGCTGCTGCCAGACGCTAGCCGCTAGATCTGTATGCAGTCGCCAGAACATCCAGAACAGACCACACATGGCGTGCCATCTA